AAGAATGATTTTAAAATATGGTTAAGAAATAACTGTCTATAAAAATGACCTTTTTTTTTTTTTTTTTAAAGAACCAAATAGAACTTCTGGAAATGAAAAATGTAAAAATCAAAATTAGGAACTCAGTGCATAAGTTAAGTGATATATTAAACACAGGTGAGAAGAAAATTGGCAAACTAAAAGAAAAATTTTGAAGAGCTTGCCCCACATGAGGTGTACAGAAAGACAAAGAGATGAAAAAATGTAAGGGGATAGAGCCTCTGACAAATACCTGGTCAGTGTCCCATAAGGGGATAATGGTATGATGAGAGAAAATATTCAATAGGATAAGCCCAACAACTTCACAAAGTTGATGAAAGATAGGGAGGCTCAGATACAGTGGAGGACTAGGGAAAACATCCACACCGAGAAGAATCATAGTGAAGCTGTGGAATATTGAAGCCTAAAGGATCTAATCAAACAGCAGAGAGAAAAGACAGATGGTGCGACAGACTAGCAGCTGACTTCTCAACTGCATCAGAGGAAGACAGAGACTGCAGAATAATCCTTTCTTCACCAATACTGGGAGAAAACAAGTCAAGCTAAAATTGTATACTTAGCAAGACTACCTTTTAAGGAAAACATTCCATTGAGAGGATAAACAAAGTCAAAAGTTGATTCTTTAAAAAGAGTATCAAAATTGACAAAATTCTAGCAGGAAAAAAAAGAGGCAACAAAAGTAATAAATTTTAAGAGGGCCCATAGTTATAGGTACTGCAGAGTTAAAATAACTGATAGGCAAGTAATATAAAGATATTTTTGAGTGATTATAAAATTATCAAAAGAAATTAAACATGGTCTAAATAAGTGGGAGATGTAATCGGGAGTTTGGCAAACATGCAAAAACATGCAAGATTAAATAGGTCAAATAGGAATACATATTTAAGGTCAAGACCTAAACAAAAGCAAAGAAATTATAAGCACAAAATTCAAATATTGGTTACTTTCTGACAGTATGCAGGGGTAAAAAAAATCAGGACATAGTCTACTTTTTAGTCCAAATGGAGGCACTTTGTTAATATTCCTTAAACAGTTCATTTACATTATTTATTTACCATGAAATGTATAACACATAGAGAAAAAAGTAAACAATGCAGCACAAAAATGTACAACTCAATGGTCGTAAAGCACACACCTTCATAATCACTACATAGATCCAGAAATAAAATATGTGAGCGCCCCAGAAGCTATACTTTCCCAGTCCTCAAAAGGTAGCCTCTAGCTTTGTAGATTTATTGTTTATGAATGTATCCTTAAACCCTCTTGTTTTGTTTTCTCCTGTCTTTTGAAAATAACAGGGATGGAATTACATACAGTTAATTCTTTTATGTCTGGCTTCTTTGATGAACATAATGTTGGTGAAATTAATAGGCCAATGAATGGTATTATTTTAATTTCATTTTTCTGGTTACTACTTGTAGTAAAAATTTTTCATATTGTAACTTTTGAATATTTGTTTTGTGAATTGTTATTACCTTTGCCCATTCATCCATCTGTAAGATCCTCTTCTTATTATTGATTTGCAAAAATTATTTGTTAATAATTACATTAACAATTATTGACAAACAAATGTGCTCTTTACAATTCATTCTCCATTTCATTTTTTAACACTTATAATTTGTAATGGCTTTCTTTTTAAACTTTCCTTTTGTATTATTGAAAATTAAATATATCATCGCCGTAAAAAATTTCAGGAAACCAAATCAAAAACACAACACACCGTAGTATAAATAAAGATCATTTTAATTTCTTCTTCCCAATTAATTCCTTCTTCCCAATTAAATGTTAACTGTTGGTAACATTTTGGTTCATATCCTTTGTGACTTTATTTATTTGTATTTACTTATTCTCTATATATGTACATTTTTATATATAAATGTAGATAGAGATATATGTCAAATTTTTAAATATCTATATTTGTACCTAAAATTTTACTAATGGAGAATTATTTTGTCTGCCTAATAACATGTTTTTCACCAATCGATACAATTTACACCACCATTTTAAATTATTTAAATTGTGTTCCGTTGTATAAATTTGCTAATTATTAATTCAACAGACATTAATTGAGTCTCTTGATAATGCTATATAGCAGCATTGTTTTGTAGGCACTTGAGGCAACTAACATACAAAATTCCTGCAAAGGTGGGGTTGAATGCTAGTGGAGGAAACATACAATAAAGAAATAAATTTTTCATATTCTATAAGGAAATCCTAAGAAGGAAAGCAAGGAAGAGTTTAGAGAGTAGTGGGTTGATATGAGGGAATAAGGTATTCAAGGAATGCCTCATAAATTAGCAAGAACATAGTAGAAGTATGGGAACCCACTGTGCCAGCCTTTGGGGAAAAATCAAATGCAAGACAACAAGGTGAGTTTTTTTGGGTTTTTCTTAGAGCAATATGACATTGGTCAACATTTCAATTACTTCCAATTTTAACAAATTTGGAAGCACCATTGTTGTTAAAATATTTACTTTTTGCTTGCGTTCTTACATTTGTTCTCCTCAGTTTTCAAACCAACCTTGTCCTTGTATGTCTTTATGACTATAATAGTAGAAAGATGTGAGAGTGTATATTAAAGGATGTTAATCTAGTACCATCTTACTCCAGAGACATAATTCATATTTATTTAGAGGAAAAATAAAATTTAGGAAAAAAGAAAAGAAGTTTTCAAAGAATGTTAGAATATAGAATATTTAATTTAGAAAGGAATTTTTTATAGCTAAGACAAAAAAATTAAAATGACTTGCCTTTAGCTACTCTGCAAATTAATACTTTTTTAAAATGCCACTTTAACATCATGGAATCTTTAATAAAATAACTTAATAAGCAAGAACTTTGACACAAAATATTTTTTTGTTCCCTTAGGTTGCTGATGCCAAATTTTGCCCAAGACCTTTTAATGTCTTGCCTGTGAAGACAAAATGGAGTAACGTGGGCTTTCATATTCTTCTATTTGATCTGGAAAACCTTGTTGAACTTTTACTACCAACTCCACTCAGTGATGTTGACTCTTCCAGTTCATTCTATGGTGGTGAGGTCCTGAGAAGAGCCAAGAGCACAGTGGAGAAGAAGACACTGACACTGAGAAAGAGTAAAACTGCCTGTGGTCCTCTCTCAGCAGAGGCACAAGCCAAGCCTATTACTGAAAGCCTGTCCCAAGGAGATAATACCATCAAATTCTCAGAAGAAAATGATGGAATTAAAAGGCAGAAGAAAATGAAGATCTCCAAAAAAATGCAGCCTAAGCCATCAAGAAAAGTAGATGCCAGTCTTACAATAGACACAGCTAAATTGTTTCTGTCTTGCCTTTTGCCATGGGGAGTGGATAAAGATTTAGATTATCTTTGCATTAAGCACCTCAATATTTTAAAGCTTCAGGGTCCTATTTCTTTGGGACTTGCTTCGAATGAAGATCATTTCTCACTGATGTTGCCAGGTTGGGATGTATGCAATACTGAAATGATAAAAGACTATTCAGGAGTAAATTTATTTTCCAGGAAAGTTTTGGACTTGTCAGATAAATACACAGCCACTCTTCCAGATCAGGTTGGAATTCCAAGAAGACTGGAAAATAATTGTGATTCTTTGCAAGAGTCAAATACTATAGTTTATTTGTTGAGCAGACTATTTTTAGTTAATAAGTTAGTTAACATGCCTTTAGAATTGGCATTTAGAGTTGGCAGGTAAGACATACCTAGAGATTTTGACTATACTAGATTATGACATTAAAAAAAAATCATGATTTGCTCTTTGGTATATTCAGCTCTTTAACATTCCTTCCTTCTTTGCAGTGGGGGGTAAATATGCAACAACTTCTTGGTTTAAAAAACATTAAGAAAATCTCCCTTTTAATTGTTTGGATTGGAGTATAATTTGGCAATCGATCTATATGATTTAAAATTCATTCATTCAACAAATATTCAATGTTTTCATAATATGTGTCAGAAAAGACATAGTGTGGGATGCTGAATGAGTAGATAGATAGATAGATAGATAGATAGATAGATAGATAGATAGATAGATAGCTACATAGATACATAGATACATACACATATACATACATAGACACATATACGTCTTGAAATCCATTATCCATGGTATGAATTAAGTATGAACAAAAACACATATACGTCTTGAAATCCATTATACATGGTATGAATTAAGTATGAACAAACAATTTAAGTAAAGGCTTATGATATGTTTTTGATATCATCAGAGAAGGAAAAAATTGAAAATTTCATACCTCAAATTTTACCATTTATTTTATATTTTGGCATATTAAAATAGAATAAAATAGAAGAGGCTATTTAGTAATTCATTTATACATAGTACAGTTTAGTAATAACTGTTGTTTTTGAGTGTTGAGATTACACTACTATGTGACTTTGGGCTAGTCACTTTGCTTTTCTGGGCCTTACTTTCCTGATTTACAAAATGAGGTGGGTGGTATAGGTGACTGTGAAATTCTTAAAAGCTTAGGTTGCTAATCAATTTGATTTATTGGTCTAATCATGATCCCACAGAGCAGATGAGGGACTTAGTTGTTTGCCAGAGGTTTTCATTGTAAGTTTATTCCTGATACAGATTACAGGATGGAAATGATGTGTCTGATGTCTGGTGCACTTTAGGGAAGCTTACGGACTTTTGGTATGCCTTTTATTAAATAGCCTTTCAAATGTTGTCACACATTAGTTGACTCTTTAAAGAATTCTTCATTGAAACAAATTATAGAATGAACGTGTCAGGATGAGAGACTGCTTCTCTACTGCAGCCACTCCAGATTTGATCTGCTGTCAGAGCCCAGATACTATTTTTTGAGAAATCAAAATAATGTATGTTGGATTTGTCACACCAAATCCTTCCAACAAATTTGACCATTTCACAAAAATTTTACTGTGGTTGTGAAGGTTGAGAAATCTTCATAAGCTTAACAACTGGGCACATGATTTAACTGAATTTTAAGGCAACACCTGCCTACTTATCAGAACATCCCTGGCAGTTTCGGAAGATTCCCGTGATGGGAACACTGGTGTAGGGTAAAACCCGCCTTCATAAGGCTCCAATGGTAGCTGAGGAGAATTCTTTGACAGATGTCAACATATTGAGTTTTTTTAATTTGTTGCATTAGTCAGTAGTCATGTGACCTAAAATAGCAAACCTGTCTTGTAAATGTAGGTCACAGATAATACTGGCAAACTAAGACGTGCAGGTCAATTGGGATTAAGATTTTAGGTGGGAGCCTAAAAAAAAAAAAAAAAGATTTAGGTGGGAACAAAGTGAGGAAATCAGATTCACAAAAGAAATTGATGTGAAAGATATTGCTAAAAATAATCTGTATTCAATTTCCAAATTTGCGAAAGTGGTCATGTACCCATATCTTTGATTTATTTCCTCAAATAATTTTTTGTGCTTTTTAGTAATATACTGCCAATCTTTTTTCTAACAGTTCTTTCAGAATGGAATGTGCACATAATAAGGTGAGAAGTGCTGGGAATGACATTTTAAATATGTCAGGCTTCTACGGTTGCTCACGAAATGGTAAGGGAGCTACTGACACAGAAATGATCTGATTTTTTTTTTCCTATGAAAGGAAATAACTAGTCTTTCTATAACTGGTTAGCAATGTCAAAATAAATAACATTTATAAAAGATAGATTTTACCTATGTTTGTGATTACACTAGCTGTGTGGCTTGAGGCTAGACATTTAGCTTTTCTGGGCCTTACTTTCTTCATTTAGAAAATGAGGTGGGTGACATTTATCAAACATTTAAAAACACAAATTGAACATTTTATAATTTTAAACCATAGACATAACATTCTAACATTTATAAAACATAGATTTCAAATGATCTTTGAAATGCCTAAAAATTTGAAACTTTTCAGCAAAGGAAATACTTAGGTGTTAAGTATTTTATTATTGTGTTTTATTGGAAAGTTTATTGCATCAATATCTTTATTACCAAATAAATGATTATTATATTAGATAATGTTCTTGCAATTTTAGAAGATTATATTCTCAACTTCAGTGTTTAGATTTTCTCGTGAGCCAAATGGCAAATTTATCTCCCAAACCTGTTTTTCCAAGTTTGGGACATCTCAGTAAATGACAGTTCTATCCTTCCAATCGCCAATTGCTCAAGCCAAGAACTTTCCCTTTCTCTCACACCCCACGTCCAATCTGTTAGTAATTGTGTCAGTTCTACCTTCAGAATGTATCCCAGAATCTGACTGCTTCTCACCCACTACACCAGCAACTCCATCTCCCTCAACCTTCCTTGCCCTTACCCTCACCCCTGTGAGCGTTCCTCCTGTCCTGCCTGGATGACCACAGTAGGCACCTGATCATCTCTCTGCTCCTATTCTTGGCTGCTGCACTCTGTTCCCAACCAAGCAGCCAGAATGATTTATTCAGAACTAAGTCAGAACCTCACTCTTCTATGTATAACCTTCCAGTGGCTTCTGTTTCACTCAGAATAAAAGCCATTGTCCTTACTATAGCGCACAAGGCCCTATAGGATCTGACCGCTTACGTATGTCATCACATACACACCCCCATCCAACCTTATCTCTTAGTGTTCACCCCCTGCTTAACTCATTCCAGCCACCCTAGCCTTTTTACTCTTACCCAAGCATGACAAGCAGGTCTGAGGACCTTTGCATTGGCTGTACCCTTGCCTGTGGTGTTCTTTCCCTAGACCTTCGTGTGGCTCAACCTGCTCACCCTCCACCTGCTACCATCCGTCAAGTCTTGCTCCAGTGCCACTTTATCACTGAAGGTGCCCTACCTCCTCCCCAGCACTCCCTACCCCTTTTGCTGGTGTACTATTTTCCATAAGCCTCTTCACTATCTGACATCTGTTACTTTTAAAAATCTCATCTGCCTCCTGCTACTAAATTGTAAGCTCCATGGAAGTTATATTTTGGTGACAGTTTTATTCATTGTTGTGTCCCCAGTTCCTAGTACAATATCTAGAAGGAATTAGCAAATAACTTTTGCATTCGTGGATGAATTAAATTAATGGACAAATAAAATTAAAGGATGAATAATGACTAGAACAATGGTTTTGGAGATAAATAAGATACATGGCTGAGATTCAAGATCCAGCTCTGCCATTGACTACTTGTGTTCTATTGGACATGTTTTTTACTTTTTAAAAGCCCTAATTACTACATTTGTAAAATGGCAATGTGATCCCAGACACAGTGTGCGTGTTGCCTCCAAAGCTGTGCAGTATATGATCCATAGGATGGGGTGACCTGAATAACGGTACACAGTGGCCCTCACAGGACTGTTGAAAAGAGTATTTTTAAGTGAGAGTTTATTAATAGCTTCCAATTATCTAGTGCTTAGTATGTTCCAAGAATTATGTTAATGGTTTTACATATTTAATGTTTTTACTCATTTAATACAAAAACAACCCTGCACAGTAGGAGGCAGCATCTCTGTTTTACTTTAAAAAAAATGGGACTCAAGGAAGTTCGATGACTTATAGGCAAACAGCTATTCAGTAGAGGGGCCTGCATTCCAATCCAAATCTGATTCCTAACCCCATTTCCTGTCCACTGTGTCAGGCCACTTCTCACATTTATGATTACAGATGAAGTTCCCTCTAAATAGCCCCAGTCTGGGTTGCCTCCTTTCTCCTTAGATAGTTACTCTTATTAGGGTTAGCTATCCAATGTTTTTGTTGTTGTTGTTGTTTGTTTGTTTGTTTGTTTTTTAGCACTGGTAACTCAGAAGGGGATTGGAATTTAAGATTTAGTATAAGTATTTCTGCAAAGACAGGGGATTACTAACTAGAATCAAGGAGGTCCCTGTTTTTCCTGTGGCTGCCCCAGCAAAAAAGCCTAAGCAACTACTGTTACTATAGAATCATCTCTCTGGGATTTAGGTTGGCTTTATCGCATTTGAAATTCAGCTAAGGACGAGGGAAACACGTTTTTCAAAAAAAATAATAATAATAATAGGAAGATGGAAGGTTAAACAAAAGGAAGTATTGACTTCATGGTACTAATTTTATAAAGCCAAATCCTAAAGAATAAAATAATACTCTGAGGTGCTCATTCTAAAATGTTGACAGGAACCAGTATTCACTTCTGTCAGCAGGAATGGTGACTGAATAATATTGGTAAGCCTCGGATATTTTCTTTTCATCTTTCCCCCTAAAATTGCAATTAATTCTTTAACTCACTGACATTGCCAAGATAAATTGGCTCTCATTTCTATCACATATTAAAATTTCAACATCACATTAAAGTGTGCTTTGAGGTACCCCATGATGTTAGTAAGTAGTTACAGTTGAGACCAATACTTAGCTTTGATGGTTGAGTCACAAGGTCAGCAAAGTGGGAGAGGGAGGAAAAATGGAGATCAAAAGAAAATGTTCTCTTACCTGCTGTGTTCATGAAGAAATGGAAAACATGTCAAAATTATAATCTTCTATCATACTTACATGTTTTATATAGTGTTCATGGTCATTTTACATTTATATTAAGTGCTCTATCAGGAAAAAATACTATCAATAATTGGTCAGAAGTTTCTTATATATTACTTTTATGTTCTCAAATTGCATTGTATACAATACTTTTATTACATTTTCCTTGACTACTAATGTGGTAAATATATATTCATATAGATCGATAGATAGATATCTCATATGTTAATATAAAAATAGGGATTTGATGAAAAGTGTATCAGACAAATGCTAATTTAAATAGTTGATACCACAATGTCAGACATATATCAATATATTAATTTAAGTAGACAATTATAGTAACAACTTTTCCGCTTGTGCAAGCCCTTACCATTCTTCCCTATGTCACTCTCAGGATGTGCCGCCTAGATAATAGACTTTAGCCATCAGAAAGCCTTAATTCATCGACTGTTCATTATGATTATATGTACATTTTCAATTAATGAAAAGACACTTATTAAATATTTTTTTTGTGTGTGTAGGAAACTGCTGGACACTCAATGAACCAATTTACTTAAACCAAGCGCTCACTCATTCTTAAAATTTCACGCTGAACATTAAGACAGATAGAAAGGACATTGGAGAGGGCAAACAGAAAAGAAACAATACATAACAGAATGAGTCAAATTAAAACAGTAGTGCTCTACCTATTGATCAGAGTGGTAGAGCTGGATAAGGACAAATCAAAGGAAGTCTTTTATTTGATTTTACATGTGATAGAGACTAATTCATGGCAGAGGAGAATTTCAGAATTTGAATAAGGAAGGAATTGTAAGATTTGGTGATCTGTCTTGGGTCAAAAATGTGTTGAAACTGTAAAAATGAATCTGATTTGATGTGAATATGTGTTAGTATAATTGTTAGAATTACATATAAATGTGTGTGTGTGTGTGTGTATATGGGTGTGTGGGTGTGTATATAAATGTAGACAAATGGATGTTGACTCTGGCTGTACATGTAAATCATCTGTGGCACTTTTACAAAGCATTAATGCCTGTCCCACCTCTACCACAGGATCTGTAAAATAAAAATCTCTGGAAGATTGAATCTGGGCACTGGTGTTTATAAAAAACAAAGCTTCCCAGGTGATTCTAATATGCAGCCCGTCTTAAGAGCTGCTATCCATTTTTAATACTCTCAAGATATAAATGTGTTCTGTATATTTCTAGGTAAGAATGATTCCCATGTACCTGAGGCTGACCTTTCACTTTTGAAGCTAATTTCCTGTTGGAGAGACCAGTCTGTGCAGGTATGATATAATTCACATTCATGAAGTTACTAGAAGAGTTCCTTGCTGCTGTGGTTCATGGGTACACCCCTCTATCTGAAAATACAAGTAGTTACTCTTGTCCTCATAAAATAGCCTTTGAACAGGCATAGAGATGAGGGAAAACACAGGCCATAACATAAGCAAGGGTACACCATTCACCAGGGGAGCGTGAATGCCGGGGGCTGAGGGAGGGAGGTTCTTGTCATCACAGGTAATTTCTTGCTTGTTGAAGCTTCAGTCTGAAGCAGAATTGTCCATTATTTGATTTCCAAATATGACATACATTAAAGTACCTATGTGTGGGAATTTGATTATGTGAAATTATAATTTTTTTAAATTTTCAATTTTTGTGGGCACGTAGTGGTCATATATATTTATGGGGTACATGAAATATTTTAATACAGGCATGCAATGCCTAATTATCACATCATAGAGAATGGGGTATCCATCACCTCAAGCATTTGTCCTTTGTGTTAGAAATAATCCATTTATATTCTTTTAGTTAACTTAAAAAGTAAAATTAAATTATTATTGACTATAGTCACCCTGTTGTGGTATCAAATAGTAGGTTTTATTCATTCTTTCTGACTTTTTTTGGCGCCTATTAATCATCCCCACCTACCCCTATTTCACACTACCCTTCCCAGCCTCTGCTAACCATTCTTCTACTCTCTACGTCCATGAGTTCAATGTAGTTATTTATTTATTTATTTATTTAATATTATTATTATTATTATTTTTTTTTTTTTTTTTTTTTTTTTTTTTTTTTTTTGAGATGGAGTCTCGCTCTATCGCCCAGGCTGGAGTGCAGTGGCCGGATCTCAGCTCACTGCAAGTTCTGCCTCCCAGGTTCACACCATTCTCCTGCCTCAGTCTCCCAAGTAGCTGGGACTACAGGCGCCCGCCACCTCGCCTGGCTAGTTTTTTGTATTTTTTTAGTAGAGACGGGGTTTCCCCATGTTAACCAGGATGGTCTCGAATTCCTGACCTCATGATCCACCCGTCTTGGCCTCTCAAAGTGCTGACATTACAGGTGTGAGCCACCGTGCCCGGCCTATTTATTTATTTATTTATTTATTTATTTATTTATTTATTTATTTTTGAGAAAGGATCTTTCTCTGTCACCCAGGCTGGAGTGCAGTGGTACAGTAACAGCTCACGGCAGCCTCACTCTACCAGGCTCAAGTGATCCTCCCACCTCAGCCTCCCAAGTAGCTGGAACTACAGGCATGCACCACCACACCTGGCTAATTTTTTGTATTTTTAAAGAGATGGGGTTTTGCCATATTGCTCAGGCTGGTCTCAAATTCCTGGGCTCAAGCGATCCGCCCACCTCACCCTTCCAAAGTGCTAGGCTTACAGGTGTGTGCCATCTCACCTGCCCTGTTTTGCTTTCGAGATTCCACACATAAGTGAAAACATGCAATATTAGTGTATCTGTGCCTGGCTTATTTCACTTAACATAATGATCTCCAGCTTATCCATGATGTTGCAAATGACAGGATCTCATTTTTTTATAACTGAATAGTGCTCTATTGTGCTGTGTACCATGTTTTCTCTATCCGTTTATCTGTTGATGGATACTTAATTGCTTCCAAATACCTACGTTGCTTCCAAATGTTGGCTGTTGTGAACAGTTCTGCAACAAACATAGGAGTTCAGATTTCTCTTTGATATACTGGTTTGCTTTCTTTTGGGTTATACTGAGCAGTGGGATTGCTGTATCATATGATAGATCTATTTTTAGTTTTTTGAGGAACCTCCAAACTGTTCTCCATAGTGGATGCACTAGTTTACATTTCCACCAACAGTGGATTTTCTTTTCTCTACATCCTTACCAGCATTTGATATTGCCTGTATTTTGGATATAAGCCATTTTAACTGGGGTGACATGATATTGCATTGTTGCTTTGATTTGCATTTCTCTGATGATAAGTGATGTTGAGTACCTTTGCATATGCCTGTTTATTCTTTGTATGTCTTCTTTTGAGAAATGTCTATTCGTTTATTTTGGCCATTATCTTACTGGATTGTTAGATTTTTCCTATAGAGTTGTTTGCGCTCCTTGTATACTCTGGGTATTAATCCCTCGTCAGATGGGTAGTTTGCAAATATTTTCTCTCATTCTGTGGATTGTCTCTTGATTTTGTTGATTGTTTCCTTTGCTATGCGAAGCTTTTAAATTTGATGTGATTCCATTTGTCCATTTTTGCATTGGTTGCCTGTGCTTACTCAGGAAATTTTTGCCCAGACCAATGACCTGGAGATCTCCGCCAATGTTTTCTTGTAGTAGTTTGATAGTTTAATGTCTTAGATTTAAGTCTTCAATGCATTTTGATTTGACTTTTGTATATGGTAAGAAATAGGGGTCTAGTTTCATTCTTCTGCATAAGGATTTCCCAGCACCATTTATTGAAGAGGCTCTCTTTTCCCCAATGTATGTTCTTGGCACTTTTGTCAAAAATGAGTTCACTGTAGGTGTATGGATTCATTTCTGGGTTCTCTGTTCTCTTCTATTGGTCCATAGGTCTACTTTTGAGCCAGTACCATGCCTTTTGGTTACTATAGTTTTGTGGTTTAATAAATCTTTTTTTTTTTTACATTCTGAGAGTACCTCATCTGTGAGTTGACTTAGAGGGCTGGTTTCTTCAATGTCCAATTTAAGTCCTTCTTTCTCCTTTAAGGCTCCTTTTGGTCTCAAAATTTTACCAGTACTTTTGTGCATTGTACAATAAATAGTTGTGCATTGATTCGATGAATGTTTACTAGAAGTTTATTCTTTTTTATGAACTTGATACATTACATATCAAATTTGCAAGATTGAAATAGCAATAACTCCAATTACAAATGATTATTCTTGGTTATAAGGAAACAAAAAAAGTTAACTCGTAATATGCTGTAGGGGCTGATGCTGTAATACTAAATATACACAGTTGGAATGGCTATAAAAACTAGTTGTCCTGGCCTGCAAGTATGCATGTGATTTTTTTCCCCAGCCTGACCCCATCTGTCATCATTTACCACCTCCTATCTTACCTTGATGTAGCCCCAACTGGCTTTCTTTTTATTTTCAGAAGACATAAAGCTCATCTGAACTCAGGATCTTACTGTTCTGTTGGGCTAGAATTCTCATGTCTTCATTAATCATTTAGGTCTTTGCTTAAAAATCTATCTTCTTAAGGAAGTCTTCTTTTATAACTCCAACTAATATTGTTGCCACATTCTACCCAACCCCACTCATCTAGTCATCATCACATTACCTAGTTTTTTTGCTGTGATTACTTTTAATGGAAATTATATTATTTACTGTTTTGCTTGCTTATTTTGTCTTCACACTGTTATATAAGCTTGCTGAGAGCAGTGACCTTGTTTGTCTCATTTGCCCCTCTCTTACCAATGCCCAGAAAAGCAGAAGTGACAGTACGCAGTCAATACATATTTAATGAATGAATGAGTAGCTATGCAGGCAACCTCTGTAATAATTGGAATAAACACAAGTACATGCAACTTTATCAGCACATTAGTAGTCACCCCAAAAAGGCCTATCTGTTAAAAGTGAGATTTTTTCCCCCGGAAGCCAAAAAGTTCCTAAATGGGGAAAAAATTATTAAAAAGAAGGATTCAACAAAACATTTCTCTTAAATTGCTCTCGCTTGAAGATCTTTGGTAGTTGTTCATTTGACCTTCAAATAAACTTTAATGTGCTTTGAGCATGTTTGGACTAACAGACCTTTAAGGTTCTATGACTCTGTGACGGTATGTGAAATGCTGGCTTTAGATGAAGACTACCAGAGAATTTACCCACTCTACAGAAAGTCCAGCCTTCAAGATTCTCTTCTCATCTCTGCTACTGGCCTGATGCATGATCTGGAAGATAGGTTAAACTTCTTGATTATTTGTCTTGCTCATATGTAAAATGGAAATGAGTATTGCGGCCCTTCAGGAAGAATAGAGACTCTTCCAAGTATCCATTTTACTGCTTCAATAGCCGATCCTCAAATTATTATTATTATTACTTTTTCTTTCTGTCACCCAGGCTGGAGTGCAGTGGCATGATCTCGGCTCACTGCAGCCTCCGTCTTCCAGGTTCAAGCGACTCTCCTGCCTCATCCTTCCAAGTAGCTGGGATTACAGGCATGAGCCACCATGCCCAGTTAATTTTTATATTTTTAGTAGAGACAGAGTCTCACCATGTAGGTCAGGCTGGTCTCAAACTCCTGACCTCAAATGATCCTCCTGCCTTGGCCTCCCAAAGTGCTGGGATTACAAGTGTGAACCACCACGCCCAGCCATCCTCAAATTATTTATAAAATCATTCATTTAAGCAGTTAGTTGAATTATGTTAGCTTGATTTTACTTTTTTGAAAACTTTTATGTTAAGTTGAGGGGCATAAGTGCAGATTTGTTTCATAGATAAACTTGTATAATGGGGGTTTGCTGTACAGATTATTTCATCTCTCAGACATTAAGCCTAGTACCCATTAGTAGTTTTTCCTGATCCTCTCTCTCCTCCCACCTTCTGCTCTTCAGTAGGTTGCAGGGTAGGTCGTGTTCAAGTGTTCCCATCATTTAGCTCCCACTTGTAAGTGAGAACATTCAGTATTTGGTTTTCTGTTCCTGTGTCAGTTTATTGGAGGATAATGGCCTCCGACTCCATCCATGTCAGTGCAAAGGACATGGTCTTGTTCTCTTTTATGGCTGCATAGTATTCCATGGTGTATATGAGCCACATTTTCTTTATCCAGTCTACCATTGATTGACATTTAGGTTTATTCCATGTCTTTGTCATTGCGAATAGATCTGCAATGAACATACGTGTGCATGTGTCTTTATAATAGAATGATTTCTATTCCTTTGGGTATATATCCACTAATGGGATTGCTGGGTTGAATGGTATTTCTGTCTTTAGGTCTTTGAGGAATCACCACACTGTCTTCCACAATGGCTGAACTAATTTACATTCCCACCAACGATGTATA